CCCCCCCCCCCCTAACGCGCCATGACGGAGGGCATCCCGAAGGAGTGGACGACGACGTGGAATCTCTTCGACGACCGGAAGACGGGCTTCGTCTCGCACCTCGACCTCAAACACATCCTGCGCAGCCTCGGCCGGCGCCACTCCGAGGCCGAATTCTACACCCTCCTCACCCCCCTGCCGGACCCCGCGCCCTTCAGCGCCTTTCTCCATCTCATGCACCAGTCCTATCAGGGGCCGACGGAGGAGGACCTCCTTGTGGCTCTCCGCGCCTTCGACCACAACGGCTCCGGCGCCCTGCGCCTCTCCGAGCTCGTCGTCCTGCTCTCATCGCTCGGGGAGAAAATGCCGGAAGGGCAGGTCCGCCAGCTCCTCTCCGAGGTCCCCACGGACAAGGAGGGGAACCTCAACATCGATGATTTGGTGCGGTTTTTGGTCGCCCCGGTCGCGATCGCCCCGCAGGAGATCGGTGAGATCCAAAAACAGCTCGGCCTACCGTCATAGACGTCGGAAAGTGAACTAAAGAAGGAAATAAGGGGAGGGAGGGGGAAAGGAAAAAATACAACCACTCAGTAGCTTTTTTTTTCTTCCCCCTCACTCTCTTTCTTTCTCTCTCCACAACACGCGTGTGCATGTCTTTACCGAGAAGACAACATGTGGTAAAACGAGCGGAGAGGAAGATGTACCGGAAGAGTGATAAAGTTCGAATGAAAAAAAAATACTTTTCAATTTGCTGTTGTATAAAACGTAAACTCTTTTTTTCAGAAAAACAAGGAGATGATAGGGCGGGGTCTGAAAGAACGTCCCCCTCTTCTCCACCTAGATGTATCCGTATAGCGAGATGTATATATAAATCCACCTAGAACTAACTGAAACATGTGGAAAGAGTGACTTCGTATCTCGGATACGGACTATGCACTCCTTGAAAAACAATAGATCCTGCATGTGTTGATTTCTCGAAGGTGGCGGCTGTGGGCGCTGGCCCCTGACTAATAATAACTAACGATATCCATATCCATATTCCCACTTTTCCCCTAGGGTTGTGTGGTCTTCCGTTTCTGTTGTCTGTCGGTGTA